AATTTCTTTGTCTCTTTCTTGAACTTAGAGGAAAATTAGTCTTTTACCACTAAACCTGCTGCTAGCTGTCTATTTGGGAGGTAGATGGGGAGGGAGAGGACATTCTAACTGCCTTTTATCAGGTTGAGGAATTTCAATCTGATACTTTGTTGATTTTTTTTTTAATCATAACAGATTTTGCAAGATGCTTTCTCTTCACATGTGGTTTGGTTTTTGTCCTTTCCTCCACTTTCCTCTGTTGTTACAGCTTCTCACATCATTAGGTTTTCAGATGTTAATGTTAAACTATGTGACATTCCTGGGATGACTCTCACTTGGCCAGGTTAGTTAATTCATTTTCTAGGTTGCTGGATTAGGTTTTGTTGGGTAACTAGTTTGGAGCACTTTACGCAGATTATTTTGTTTTCAAAGTCTCTGAGGTGTGAACTAATTTTATTCTACCTGTCAAAGACAAGGAAAGTGGCACTCAGACAGGTGCATCCTCAGTGCTGTGCACAAGATGGTGGGCCAGGTCCACTTTCTAAAGCTGGAGAACAGGGCATTTGGTGGAGGTGAGATGATGTTGGGTGGTACCCACATGTTGGGTGGTACCTTGTTCTCATGGATCATCCATTTATTGAGCAAACCTTTATTTAGCCACAAACATGTGCTCATCTCTGTGCAAGAGTTGGCATGAACTAGACATATTTCCTGCCTGCATGGAGTATATTATTTATTGCAGGAGAGAAGACATGGCAATTGATGGAATGAAGTGTCACAGGTGCCATGAAAGATGGGCTGTCCTGGTCACACTGAGAACCAAAGGAGAGGGGTGGATTCAGGTGGGTGGAGTGGTCAGAAATGCTTCCTCCGGTAACTGTTTTCTTAGGTCTCCAGCTCCAGATCTTTCTGGCAAGTGTGGAGGTGCTTGTTGCACTGTATAGTTTAGGTGATATTGATGGGACCCCACAGGAGTCTCCTGTGCCCATGCACCTCCTCCAGAGCTCTCTTTTATCCAGGTGACATCAGGTGCTCACCGCTCTCAGCCTCCAGACCCTTCTCACGTGTGTGGCTCTATTTTACAAGTTTTCTAAAGGTAGCTCTAGGTGGCCTTGGTAGGCTTGAGTATGTAAAATAGTCCAGTAAAACAGGCCACCTCTTCCCCACCTGCTCTTCCCCACCTGCCCCTACATGCTCCATTTTGGGGCATAAGTGACTGTGTTGGTGAGCCCCATACCCAGAAGATGTGGCAAAGGGATAGCATGGAGTTTGCTGTCCCAGCAAACTTCTGTCCCCACACAGCCTTCTAGCATGCCGAGTGAACACCCCTAAAAAGCGGACCTCCCTAGTGGTGCTGGGGTTAAAATCTCAGCACTATCAAGCTATCACCAGCCACTGCAGCAGGAGTTCAGGTTCAATCCCCAACCAGGGAGCTGACCCACATGGTGCAGCAAATCTCTCCTGTCTCACCTGCTGCTCTCCTCAGCAGTGTGTTTTAGTAGATCCGCCTGTTCTGCTCCCCACTCTGTCTCTAAAGAATCTTCTCACCTCCCCCCACCTCTGGCCTACATGCCTGTACTTATATGCATAAATAAAATTAAAAAATAAATCCTTAAAAGAAGTGCTTAATGGCGAGTCTCCTTTTAATTTATGTATATACTTATATATACTTATTTGCATATCACATTTATTCACATGTTCATTTACATACTTCCTTATAGTATTTCATTTGTATAGCTAAATATACATGTAGTAAATATATATATATATATGTATAATATATATAAATTGAAAAAGTGTTAGCTGCTGTCTATCTAGAGAGACTCAGACAGGAACACTATTTCCTGGTCTCTTGATGTTCCTGACATCTGAAGGTGACAGTTACTTCATCTTTGTGCTTGGCACAGCCTCGTTTTTCCTGAGGAAGGAAAGGCAGCCAAGTGGAGGAAAATGAACAAGTCAAGTGCTTGTGTTTTTCAAAAGGTACAGAGGTAGGCGTGGTCTAGAGCAAAGGGCACAGCACTGGGGGTCACGGTCTCCGCTTCTGTCCTCGCTCAGCCCTGGCTGGCCACGGGACCGTGAATGACAGTTTCACTTCTCAGGGACACCACGTCTCTTCTGAAAAACTTGCCGGGTTCTTGTGGCTGAGCAAATCAGCACGGAACATCGAGAGCGTGGAGGGCGGAGGGCACCAGGGCAAATGCCTTTCTTCCCTGCAGATTGTGCTGTGTTTCATTCATTCTACTGAAGAGGCCTAGCCAGCATTTCTCGGGTGCCCATCTGCTGCCAGCGGCGGGGCTAAGCATTCCACGTGCTCTGCTGTTACGTAAGTCTCAGAATAGAATACCCTGGGCAAGGCTGTTAATTATCAGCCATTTCAAGATAGATAAGGAAACTGAGGTGCTGGCTCAGTGACATGCTTCTGCTTCATCAATGGCAGAGGATGGGTTTGAACCCATAGTTCATGCTTACCCACTCCCCTGGCTAGTGCCCAGGCCAGGAAAATAGCTTCCTGTTCATTTTCCTCCTAGGATGTCAGAGAAAGGACTGTCATTTGTGTGCAGAGAGCAGGGTGTGGTTAGTTGACTGCATTCCCAAAGCTTGTTCTGTGGGCCCCAGATTCAAGACATGGATGGCTCAGACTCTGCAGTCATCCATAGCCAGGCGTCCCCACCACCCTCCCCAGAAGCAAACTGACTGTGATGTGAGCCTAGTGCTGTTTCTTACCCCAGAGGCACCAGACCACAGAGTCAGATTTGTCTGACGCTGAGTTTAAATGAATGAGGTTGCTGCCGTGTCTCCAGAATGATGGTCCCAGACCATTGTTTACTTTTAAATATTTTATGCATGTCTCTTCCAAAGTGACAAAATGATCACATGGTCACAGAAGGAATATGAAGATTGTTCTCATTTGGAAGTCTGTATTACAAGCAGGACACCTGAGCCAGAAAAGGGCTTCTTTTCATGTATACCCTTTTCTTTTTTTTTTTCTTCTTTCTCATTGATGCAGGCAGTGACTTCCTTCACATGAATTAAAAATGTCTCATTTCCCTTTCCCTGAAGCAGTGACAAACACAGAAATCCATTACAGATGCTGTATTTTTTCACAAGGAGAAAAGAACTATTACCTTAATGTTCATAAAAACTCCTGATTTACTGGCATTGTATGTTGTTTGCTTACCGGTTCTCTTTATGGAAGTGTAAGGGTGTGATTTGAAAGTCATTCTTATAAATGGGTTGTGGTGTCCCCAAGCCCACTAGAAAGTCAGGTTATACTAAAAAATAGGGAAAGAACTTGCAGGTAGGTGTCAGAGTGGGGGCCGCAGGGGAGAACTGGGCATGTAAGCAAAGAGAATTACCAGGGCTCTGGCCATGGGAGTTCATCATGACCTGCAAAATAATCATTAACCCCTCTTGCAAAATGGACTGAGTGTAAGAAGAAGGTGATCTCTTGTCGTTGGCAAGTGGTTGGCAAGCTGGATGCCGCCCTAAGAATTCAGAGGAGAGAGAGAAGAGGAAGCAAGGTGCAGAGAAGGCCTGAAACCACCCACCAGACCAGGCGCCTGGGGAGCTGTCACTCCTGAGCCCGGTGCCCTCGCTGCGTGTGGTTTCCTGTTGCCACAGTGCAGGTGACACAGGAAGGTGTGCTTGAGAGGAGCAGTTCACCCTGGCCCTGACCTGCCCTCCTGACCACCCCACCCCAGTCAGTGTCCCCCCCACCCCCACGCCCCTGGTGTGGGGAGAGAGGTTTCTGTTCCTTCACCTCCGTGTGTGATGCAGGGTTGGCTAATGATGATGATAATTTATTCACCTTTGAGCAGTTCTTCATTTTTTGCCCACTGGTCTTCCGTGGGCCTGTTTCGCTTTGCTTTTTTGTTTTCATTTACTTCAGCTTTTGTCATCATCAGTCCCCACATTCTCATCGCTTTGGGTTGCTTTTCAGTCTTTTCATCTTTGAGGAGGAAATTCAGTACATTTCATTCCACTTTCTTATTTTCTTCTGTTTATTTAAAATATTTACATATGCTCTCTTATCTAGTTCTAAATATTTGATCATTTCTTTTTGAAGTCTTCTTTGTCTGGAATAACCTTGAAGAGTGCTTTTATGCATTTTCATAGGTATGGAGAGGTTTTTTTTTTTTTTGGTGCAATAATTTGTATTACTGATTTCTAATTCTGCAGCACAGTGATCAATGAATGTGATTTCCGGTAACTCATATTGGGGAAGTTTGTAGGACGCTGATAACCTAAACCACAATGATTTTTTAACAACATTTCACATATGCTTGGGGGAAAATGAGTATTCTGAGTGCAGGGTGCTGAGTTTTTAAAATAGCAATGAGCTCGAATTGGGTATCGTGCTGCTCAGACCCCTTCAGCTTCACTGCCTGCAAAGTCTTCATGGGAACTGTGCCCTCCACAGCCCCTGAGACACAGTTCCATGTAGGGCAGATGTGGTCGGTGCGGTTCCCAGCACGTGTCCAGGCTGAGACTCTTCTATTGTTGTAAATAAGGTTAATTTTGTGGAGTCTGAACGCTCCATCCTAGCTGAATTAGCTCGTGGAACCTATGTTCTGATGTTATTTTGAAGAGTTTGGTTGTCACGATCATGGACATTGTGCTGTGCTGTCATTTAAGAATGGAACTGACGGTGTCCTCATGGCGTACAAATGGCGGGTGGCCAGCCACGGCCCATGTCCTGGCCCTGGGCACCCTGTGAGGTCCTTTGCCCTGGGTTGCTGTGGTTGAGCGTCCCTGAACCTCAGGTACCATACCACCTGTCTTGTTGGCCTGAGGCTTCCAGCCAGGCTCAGCCCAGAGAGCAGACATAAAAGCACCTTCCCAAGTCTCAGGCTCAGGCTGAGTCCAGAAGCAAGGGGGATTGGGAAGGGCAGTGCCAGTGTGGTCTCAGTACATGTTCATCCTTCCCTCAATTCTCCAGGAGAAGCCTCGACCTGGTGAGATTGAGAGAAAAGCCTGGAAGCCCCTGAACTTCCCTTGTCCTCTCTTCCTTCCCCCAGTGTGAAATAGGAAACCGCAGCCATGACCACCCACGTCACCCTGGAGGATGCCCTGTCCAATGTGGACCTGCTGGAAGAGCTCCCCCTACCTGACCAGCAGCCATGCATCGAGCCACCGCCTTCCTCCATCATGTACCAGGTACCTCCTCCTAGGCATTGGAACTCTGCCCTGCAGGCGGAAGGGAGGAGGTGTGCATCTCCAGGTGAAAGGTCGAGAGCTGATGGAGTGCCCATGCCCTCGTGGAGCTGAGAGCAGGCAGGATCAGCTAGCCCTCACGCACAGGCTGTGTCCCTTCCCCAGGGAAGGCGTGTTGATCCAGCCTGACCCCTAATGCCATCCTGGCTCTTCTTGCTGCAGCACCGACCTGGTCTTGGCACCCTTGACCTCATGAATTAAATATTGCCATTTAGAACCCCCTAGAGTCTGCTGGGTAATTACTTTTCCTCCACGTATGTGAAAAGAGCTCTCAACGGCCCACAGACTCGGACGTTTCAGGGAGCTGGCCATGCTTATTTGCTTTCTACTGGAGAGATGAGCGGCTGCTGGTGAAAAGCAGATCGGATTGCTGTGCACTGCTCCTGCTGGTGTCTGGGTGCGGAGTCCACAGTGCAAACACCTCCTGGTGGGGGAAGGCCCAGCAGTGGTGTTTAGCTGTTTGACCTTTCAAAAGTTCTTAGACTGCTCAGTGAGACTGAAGAGAAATACTCTATTTTTAATTTTTTAATGATGAGAGGTATTAAGCACATGCCTTGAAGGTTGAACTCATAAGCTTAGCTTGGTCACATTTTCTAACCCACATTTAATTTTTACAGATATAAATATCTTTTTGCACTACAAACAATATAGGAAAGTATAGCACAAGAAAATTCCCAGTAAATATGTGCCTATATATGTATATACACACACATAGAAACACACCCTTTTAATTAATTTATATATATATGTCTTTGCATATATGTATTTTTTAAAGGATTAATACTATTTAGTGCTCTGTGTTTCAGCTTTCTTTTAACATAAAATTTATTATGGATAATTTTTCCCTGACAATACTACAAGGCTACATTTTTATTATATTTTTACCACCACAGAGTCTTTTAAGTCTATTGTATAGTTATTATTTATTTATGTAGTATTATGTATTATGTATTTAGCTTTCAGCTATTAACAGACCTTTGGGTGATTTCCAGTTTTTGTCTACCACAAAGAACACTGTGGTTATTATCTTTGTATGTGCATCTCCATCCACAGGTAAACATTTTTGCAATTGCTGGGTAAAGGCAATGCATACCCTCCTTTTTGTCAGCTTTTGTATTTTGGGCTCATTGTTTCAGCTTCCATGGCTCTGCTGGGCTCCCCATCTGCCAATACAGGAAACAGATATAGGCCCAATGCCAGTCCCATCGAGGCTTTGGAGGGAGATGAGGGACTGGGATGGAGATAGATTTCCACAGAGAACTGAAGGTATTTGTAGTTTGCTGGACACTAACTGCCTTGGCCTCGTTTCAACCAGCAAATGTTCCTGTCCTGTCATTCCCACAGGCAAACTTCGACACCAATTTCGAGGACAGGAACGCCTTCGTCACAGGCATTGCAAGGTACATCGAGCAGGCTACAGTGCACTCCAGCATGGTAAGTCCCTGGGACCTGCCGGGCTAGAGGCTGAGGCAACGTCCCTCTCCCTCCACCTGCTGCATGGACTTGTCTTCAGCTCTTCCCAGTTGGACCCATGCCTGGCCCAGCCCTCTCTGTGCCTTGGGGCATGCTGTTCTGCTAAGATCCAGCTTTGCGAACCCCACTCACCTCCAGCCCAGCTTTATCCACACTCCAAGTGTGTATAGCTTTCTGGACACTGCCGGGTCTTGTCCTTTATCGATGATTGACTGAACTTTTGTCTCTTGGGCAAAGCAAAAGTTGTTCAAAAAGGGATACAGCTTTGGAATAACACATCATGAACAATTCTCACTCCACCCCTGCGAGATCCTTCATGGGTGGGGCCGGTGTCTCTGGGGTAATGCGTCTGACCGTCCAGAAGGGATCAATTCCTTCCTTCATGGGCTTCTACTCATTTTCTGCTCACACAGTGCTGGTATTTGAACAATTCCAGGTTCCTTCTTCACAGGCTCTGCCTGTGCCTCAGTGGGCCTGTCTCCCCTCTCAGTTGTGTCCTAAAACCTGCCTTAAGGCACCCTGAGTGTTCATGTTGTGGCACCCGCAGACACTGGGCCAAGTGGTGGGCAGGTGTGCCAAGACAAAGAAGGGCTGTCTCGAGTCCGGCTGAGTGGTAGGGAATAGCCAAGCTGACCATTTATTGGCACTTTTTGTGCAGGAGGTCTGCATGCTCTGTCGCAACAATCCTCACTCCGCCCTTGCCAGGTAGGCTGTAACAATAGCGATGTTACAGATGGGGGAATGAAGCCAGACAGCTCCCTCAGATGCCTGCTGCTGAGCAGCAGTGGAACTAAGCCAGGTCTTTCTGACTACAAACCTATACAACATCCTGCAGAAGATGAAAATGCACAAAATGGAGGGTAAATGTCATAGAGGGTCAAGGTTCAGGGCTTCGGAAGGGGCCTTGAGAGGGTCAGAGAAAACTTACTGAAGGAAATGGCATTTGAGAGGCCTGGTAGGAAGGTGACACTGTCATTTGTGTTTATAGGTGGTGCTGTCAACATAGTGCTTTATAGTGTGTGTGTGTGTGTGTGTGTGTGTGTGCGCACACACACACACCCAGTATAACCGCATATACGGCGCTTCAAAACATGGAAGATATTCTCATCTATGGTCTCATCGGAGCCTTACAGTAATAGCCCTACAACTTATAAATACTATCCCCACTTTAGGGGTGAGAAAAATGACACCAGGAGAGGTTCATAGCAAAGTTACTCATGACCCCACTTCCAGCAAATCACTGATGGAGTCTGGAATCTGGGGCTCTGATTCCCAGTTCTGGTCTCTCTCCACTGTACTTGCTGTTTCACAGAACTAGGATTTGTCTGTCAGTGTTGAAATGGGGAGACAGCCCAGCTGGGAAGCCAGCGTGAGCAAAGGCATGGATGCAGAAATGTTTGGGAAGCCTGCGGGTTTGGACAATAAGACACATGCAGAGAAATGGTCTGTGGATTTATGGAAGATTAGGTAAGCCTCCGTGCACGCGGGGTGTGTTAGTTGGCTCAAACTGCCATAACAAAATAACACAATCTAAGTGGCTTAAATAACAGAAATTTATTTTCTCCCAGCTTAAGAGACTGGGAGTCCAAGATCAAGGTGTTAGCAGCTCTGGCATCTGCTGAGGCCTGTGTGTAGCTTGCAGATGTCCTCACTTGCTCTTTTCTCTGCATGTTCCCAGTGTGTCTGTGGGTCCAGATTTCTTAGAAAACTCCGATGAGGGGAGGCCCACCTAGGGGCCTTGTGTCAGTCACCTCATTAAGCATCCACTCTCCAAATGACAGTCACATTCTGAGGGCCTGGGAGGGTCAAGGCTTCAAGGCGTGGATATGGGGAGGAGGAAACAATTCTTTTCTGGCAGAGGGCTTTCATTAATTTAATCAAAAAATCGAAAAGAATGGGAAACGTTATTGCAGGGAAGAGATGTAAACAGAGTTCTGCTAGGGGCATATGTTTCATTTGTTGGTTATGCGTAGAATGAGTTGAAATGAGGAGTGAATGAGGTGAATGAATGGGGTAAGACCATTAGTTATTTACAGTGTTACTTACAGGGAGGCCTAAGGCTGAAGGGTATCTAAGTGGGTTTGCATACAGGTTTCCTCCACTATCCAAAAGTAAAATGTTCCTATTTGGTATGAACTAGCAGGTATTTAGGGGGCTGAGAACACTATTTATTTACACATGTTGAGTGCTCCTAGACCCCTAAATTAATCTACCAAATCGGACGTGGTCTGCTTTGGGATGGGCCCAGATAGGGATGTATCACCAACAGCACCTTGGTTTTAACCCTGCAAGTCCCATGTCAGATTCTCACCTAAAGAACTGTAATCAAATGCTAGACGTTAATGCCCTGACTCAGCAGTCAGCTGGGGGCTGAAGCAGATGCTGCAGGAACGGCACCGACTGTGGGTACCTGGAACACCAGCTCAGGGACACCCACAGGGGAGTCGGTCGTGGGACTGGTTTAGAGGAGTGATTGCATTAATTTTCTACTGCTACTGTAAGAGAAGATCACCAATTATTGGCTTAGAATAGTACAGAAGTATCTGATTACAGTTCTTTTGATGAGATATGACTTAGGCCTGGCAGGGTTACAACAAGGTGGTGCTGGCGATGGATCCCTCTCTGGGCTACCCAGGAGGAACTGTTTTCCTAGCTTTACCTGCTTTAGAGGCTATGCACATTCTGTGGCACAGATTTGCCTTCCAGACAGCAATCACGTGGCTCCAAGTCTTGCTCCTTCCTCACATCTCCTTCTGGGACACTCCTGTCCTCCTCTTCCTGGGGACCCTAGTCACCACATTGGACCAGCCAGCTAATGCAGGAATGGGTAGGTAACAGAGTCCCTTTTGCCATGTAGGCTGTTACATTCAGAGGTTCTGTGGGTCAGACTGGACACGTGGTGACAACTCCTTCCACACAGGGATGGTGTTGACACTGTTTTAGACAGGAGTCAGGAAATGCTGTACTATTCACATTCAGGGATAAGGTCTCCCAAAGATAAATTTCACTCACCATTTCCACCTCATACCTGACTAAAGCTTTTTTCTAGAGTCTCTTAGCAACAGCCAAGTGACTTTGTTGGGTACTCAGCCTCATGTGTTGTTCCTGTCCACCCTCTGGGCAAACTGAATCTCCCAAAAGGCAAGATGGGCAGAGAAAGAAGAGGAGGAGACGGGGCATAAACCCGGCATTTGGCTAAGTGTACGGAAGAGCCAAGGGCTCTTTGCTAGGGGTGAGATGGGGGCTGAGTCTCCAGACTTTGGAGAGACACCGCCTGTCATTGGCAGCTCTGAAACTGAAGCTGGACTCGTATTGTGTTGGAGTCCTGGGCTTGCAAAATCTTAGCTCCTCGTTCAGTCCTGTGTCTGCACGTCAGACTCCCCTGACGAACATCCAAACCCACACTGCTGGGCCCTCCCCAGGAAAATGGCGTTGCTCTGCTAGCCTGGGGCCTGCGAGTTCAGAAATTTTTCAGATTTTATATGTCTTCAGGATTGAGGACCATTGATTTAGAACAACTCTTGACTTCCAAACAAGAAAGCTGATGTTTTTAAGTTAGAAGGTGGCTCCAAAGAGCTAGGACCAGAACTCAAATTGCCCGAGCTCTTGCCACCACCCACTGCTGACTGCTCTCTGCCAGGCGTTACAGACGAGAACGTGGTGATGGCCAGCTGAGCTGTCTACATGCATCTCTTCTCCACCCTGTCCCCAGCTCCTAGCACAGAACCGTGTCTGCTCACCAAACTCTCCCTGCTGAGCTCATGACAGGACTCATGCTTCTTGGGGACACTCGCTGCTTGGTAGACATGTGCACCCTGCGCCTCTGTCTCTTCTTCTTCTTCTTCTTTTTTTTTAACATTTGATATATTTTTTAAAAGATCTATTTATTTATGCATTACAGAACTGGCCAGAGGTGCAGGGGCGGTGAGAAGCTTCACCAGAGACAGAGTGGGGAGCAGAACAGGTCAACTGACGAAGTACACTGCTGAAGGGAGCAGTGGGCGGGTCAGGAGAAGTCTGCTGCCCCATGTGGGTCACCTCCCGGGCGGGGACTGAACTCATGCTGAAGTGGCTTTAGCTTCTTAGTGCTGTGCTTTAATCCGCTGCCCCACCAGGGAGGGCCCTGTCACTTCTTTTTTTAACATGTGTTTTGAAGCAGCTGAGACCGAAGATTCATAGGCTGGGTCCTGGTTCTTTCTGGTCTCCAGGGCAGCATGCTCATGATTTTTTTTTTTTTTTAAAGATTTTATTTGTGCATACAGAACTGGGATACAGGCCAGAGATGTGGAGGGTGAGAGAATTCACCAGAGACAGAGTGGAGTGCAGAACAGGCAGATCAATGAAATACACTGCTGAGGGGAGCAGCGGGCGGGTCAGGAGAGGTCTGCCACGCCAGCATGCTCATGATTTTAAAAGTTCTCTAAATTAAGAGTAGAAAGTGATTTGTCAGTGATCTTTGCTGCTGAAAACAGATCTATAAAACGTAATCATCTTCCGATTAAATCAGGTCTTGTGTTAGAAAGATACTAGGAAATAGTATGTTTGAAAGTAAAAATAAGTCAGTACAAGTTCATTTTCATATCAATACAAACGATGGTCTTTCATACTTGTTATGTCTGTTTCACATAAATAAATTTTACTATTTAAAGGGTGTAAGTCTGGGTTTTGGGAATATATTTATAATGTTATATAACTGCCCGATGGCTCAGTTCCATCAATTCATTACCAGGGATTTCTCAGCAGCAGCTCTCATCCCTTGTCTCCTGGAAAACTCTAATCCACCTTCAGCTTCTTCAGATTTCTGTTCTAGCCGCTCCATCTCTGTGGCCCGTGTGACAGCAGCCTGTTCTGGCTGGCTTTTTCCATTCATCACTGCATCTTCCAGGTCTGTCACCGTGGCCCCAGCAGGGGAAGAGTGAATGCCCTTCAGCGTGTGCTCGGCCACTTTCATTTATCCTTCCATCAGCTCTCGGACATTGGGGCTCTTCCCCTTTTTTGACTCCTATGAATAATGCTGCTATAACATAAGAGAACAGAGCCGCCCTGGTGGCGCAGTGGGCTGGAGCACCGCACTGTGAAGCTAAGCCAAGCTGTGGCCGCTTCTGTGTGAGTTCAGTCCCCACCTGGAGGTGACCCACATGGCGTGGCAGACCTTTCCTGACCCGCCTGCTGCTCCCCTCAGCAGTGTACTTCATCAATCTGCCTGTTCTGCTCCCCACTCTGTCTCCAGTGAAGCCTCTCACAGCCCCTGTACCTCTGGCCTGTACCCCAGTTCTGTATGCATCAATAAATAAAATCATTTAAAAAAATATCAAGAGAGCAAGTTTCTGCATGGATTTGTTTTCATTTCCCTCAGGTTTATATCCAGACGTGGAATTACTGGGTTCTGCAGTAATTCTGTGTTTAATCTTTTTGAGAAACTGCCAAGCCATCTAGCTAGTAATCCTCTTAAATCGCTTTATGGGTTATCTAGCATTGTGTGTGTGTGTGTGTGCATGTGTGTTTTTAATTAAATGTTCATAAAATTCTTTGTTGTTACTAGCATTGTGGTTTGACAGATGTCTCTGTGCAGACTTTTAGATTAAGTGATTTTCTGAAGACTGAAAGCCTCCAAAGTGCTGAAAAGGGCTTGAAGCCCAGGTATTTGGCCCCAAGTGGGGGCTCTTTCCATAGCCCACTGAATGGGTGCCGTGAGTCATCACCACGCCTTTCAGAGCCACGTTCTTGTTCATGCTGTTGTGGCTTTTGCCATCTGCTCCGTGCTATTTTTAAAAATTGATCTTAGTCATTTTCATGCTTATGGAATAGTAACATGGGCATGTGGAAAAATGCAAACATGATCAATCAGGTTATAGGACAGACGAGGTGAAGCCCCAGCACCCCTGGAGACATTACTGTCCACAGCCAGGTGCGTGGCCCACCCAGTGCTTTTCAACACACAGCACTGTACTTGCATCACAAGTGTGCTTGGTTTGGTTTAGCAGCCTCCCTGCTGTGCACAGTCTTTTGCTACTTGCTGATTTTCCTGCCAAGAGTTGATCTGGGACACCTTTTGCCGCAGGAATAAGGAGATCTGCCTCCTTTCTAAGGAAGCCTCCTGTTCGAACATTGTGCCTGTGAGCGAAGCCCCTGGGCGTCCGATGGAGAGTGTAGGCCAGTGCTTCTTAGGCTTTTGTGCAACGGGGCTTCTAAGTCTCCAGGGAATTTCATTGCCGTGCAGATTCCCATTCCACAGCCTAGGAAGGACGCTAAGATTTTGTGCTCTATTTTCCCTCCACCCTCTACCCCTTTGACTCTTTCTCCCCTCCCCCTGCCCCCACACTTTAACCTCTGATAGCTCACTTTGGTTATTAGTGTCCACTGGTTTATAATTGTTCCACTTCTTCTGTGTTTTTTTATTCATACGCGTGAAATCACCGGAAATCTGTCTTTCGCCCGCCGTTTTGCTGAATGGCAGCATTTCGCCTTTCCGTCTGGCTGAATAGCATTCCACGGTGCAAACAACCCTCTGCAGCACTCAGGCTGCCTCCATGTCCTCGCTACTGTAAATAATGTGCAGTACCCCGTGTTTATTGTTGCTTTAGTTACGGTAGGAAAGACATGGAATCAATCCAAATGCCCAAAAGTGGATGACTGGGTGAAAAAGATGTGGTACATACACACAATGGAATATTACTCAGCAATCCAAAAAGATAAACTCTGCCTCTTGCAGCAACATGGGTAGAGCTGGAAAGGATCATGCTTAGTGAAATAAGCCAGAAAGAGAAAAGAAAAATACTGGATGGTTTCATTCATAACAGGAGCATAAAGGACCAGGGTAGGAAATAATAATAATGAACAACTATATACCAGAGACATTTTACAGGGGTGGAGTTGGGAACGGGATCAAAAATGGAGTGGGAGGAGCGCATGGGACTATGGTGATGGCACACAGGTGATTTGGTGATGGGAAGCCCGTGGGGATTACAACTGAGATGGAAAAAACACAAAATGATGTACAAATTGACTATTATATTAAAAAAATAATAATTTGCAGTAAACAATGTGGAACTTGTAATGTTTCCACTTGATGGCTTCATGGGCTTCAGATAAATGCCTCAGAGGGGGGATGTTGGTTCATCTTGTGTAGCCATTTTCAGTTTTTTAGAGAGTCCACAGTTCTGAGAAGCTCCCCAGGTGATGCCAGAGGCTGCTGGTTCCCAGACCACACTGAAAGCCCTGAGGATTTGGAGGCTGGTGCGAAGCACTGCTGAGCTGAGTGTTTTGTGTTTCAGAATGAAATGCTGGAAGAAGGACATGAGTACGCAGTCATGCTGTACACCTGGCGCAGCTGTTCCCGGGCCATCCCCCAGGTGAGCCTATGCTTCCTTCCCGGAAACGCCTGTCCTCCAGGGGAGCTACCACCCACCACCCCTCCCCCACCCAGAGCTGAGCTGCTGCGCCCACAGAGCTCACCCAGGCCTCACCCATCTCTGACCTGCCCACAGCGCAAGGCCATCGAGCGCTTCTGCACCCACATAAGCAAGTTCTCTTACTCAAGGCGGATGCCGAGACATTCAACAACTTCCTGTAACACTGACCATGACTTAAAAATTACTTGCACAACTCATGTTATTTCAAAAGCTGCATGTTAACAGTGTTACTAGAGTCTGGGTTCTTGAGTTCTCTGAGAAATAAAAACAGGATGATTCAGATCCTGCAAGTACTGTGCAAGAACGTATTCCAGCTTCTGCAATTCAGTATAAGGGAGTCGGCATCAGTGACACCTTAGGCAGCTCCCAGAGAAACAGGGAGGCTTTAATTTAAGCAGCTTTAACCCGGATCATTAAAGAGCTGGGTCCTTTCTCTGCTCTTCCTCCACGAGGTCACTCCAGCTCTCTAACTCATGATTGCCTCGTGCCTTGACCACTTCACGATGGAACCATGTCAGCCTACGGGGTTCTTAACCTAGAGGGGTTGTTTGTGGAGAATACTTCGTTTCATCTAAAGTATGTATTGGGGCAGGGTCCCTACTTAGGGACAGGGACAGTCACTCTCAGAGCTATCAGCTGGTCTGGCATCTCCCGTGGAGAAAATGCCACCTTCTACTTAGCAATGAATTGGCCTCAGCCTGATTTAGTGTCACGTGTCATGGAGTTCCGAGTCTCATGGCTCCTGTCTCCTGGCTAAGACAATAGCACCACACCCAGACCATCACAAAGAGGTATAAAGTAAAAAAGCAAGACATCACCCCGCAACAACAGCCCCCAACCTTCAACACCGCTGCCCCCAAACCCACCTCCTGCCAAAGCCTGACCACCATAGACACTGCTGCTTGCTCTCCATGATCTTTTTCCTTGAACAATGAACATTATTTGGTAAATATGATCACTTCACAAAAGCACTTCTTATTCAAACTCTTCTGCCTCTTGTTTTTTTTTTTCCTTCACTTAGTTATTACCAACTTTTTCCTGTTGACATATACAGATACTATTTTCACCATCATTATCATCAGCGTATAGTTAATAGGTCCCCTTGTGTAACAAAATCAACAAGCCACAGGTGTAGAAACCCAGATTAAGCCTCCGCCTGCCTCCGATTCTAGTCCCCAGTGGTAACTACTAGTAATGGTTTGGTTTGTACCGGACCTTCTATGCCTATATTATAGATGGGCACACACACACAGTTTCATGGGCTGGAACTGCATGTTCTACCCTGCAACTTGTCCAGTTACTGTGCACGTCGGCTCGTATCACTCCATCTCACACTTTTGACCACATACTGATACCCTGCGGCTGCTTCACACTTGACCACACCTCTGTCCTTGTGGCTCTCTGGGTGTCTGTCTGCTTGCTGCCACTATGAAGACTGTGTCTACACAGCAGGGTGAAGAATGTCCTCGTGCTTCCCTTCCTCACCCTGCATGGTTGGCCAGCCCGACCAGATGTGGTTCTGATGTTCACACTACCGGGCGGGGGTCAGCTTCTGGCAGGTGCATCTCAGGGCTGTATTGGCCTGAGTGAGGCTGGGCGCTTTGCCTGGGCCCCTCCAGAACAATGGATGGCGTGTCTTTCTCCACTTAAAGTCTGGCAGGTCCCCACCAGTTTCCAGCAGGAAGGCTGAAATATGAAGTCCTTGCTTGGGGCGTATGCCTATGGCCAGGGCTCAGAGCAGAGAAGTGAAGAGGTTCTGTTTCAGGGACCCTGCCCTTTTGGGTCAGACCTAGCCAGCACCTTGCCTTCTCTCCCTGGGGTCAGTCACCACATCATATCTTGTCCTAGGTGAGGTGCATTGGAGAACGAAACGGGCCGTATTTATGAGACAGCAGGTGTGGGCCAGGACTGCCTGGCAAACCAGGACTCTGAAAGCCCCTCCCTACAGGTCAAGTGCAATGAGCAGCCCAACCGTGTGGAGATCTACGAGAAGACAGTGGAGGTGCTGGAGCCCGAGGTCACCAAGCTCATGAAGTTCATGTACTTCCAGGTGAGGGCCAGGATGGTCTGGGTCACAACGCTGGAATAGGTCCCCATGCTTCAGGATGCAGAGGTCAGGATTTCTGGGATAGGTCAAATGTGTTTTGAGTGTCCACTTACCCCTGGGTGAGATGACCGATGGTCCCTCCCTCCAGGCACTTCACATCTAGGTGAGTGTTGGGAGCAGGAGAGGGAAGAAAGGTCTTCTGGCCCATACCCCTTTTCTAAACATGGGTCTCCGACTTGGTTCGGATCCCAGGGCACCCAAACCCTGCCTCCTGCCCCAACCTGGGACCCCCAGGCTCACCCATCTCTGACCTGCCCACAGCGCAAGGCCATCGAGCGCTTCTGCAGCGAGGTGAAGCGACTGTGCCACGCCGAGCGCAGGAAGGACTTTGTGTCCGAGGCCTACCTGCTGACCCTGGGCAAGTTCATCAATATGTTTGCCGTCCTGGATGAGCTGAAGAACATGAAGTGCAGCGTCAAGAACGACCACTCTGCCTACAAGAGGTCAGGGCCGCCCCACCCTGTCCCACCGCCCCCCTCCCCCACCAGGGTCCCCAATGGGGGACCCTCTCTCCATGAGCCACCAGCTGACCCCTGCTTCCTTGCGCTGGGCCCCCCTTCCCCATGAGCCATCACCCCTCTCCTATCCTGTTCCCTCTTTCCCCATCTGCCCACCCCCCCC